TGTCGATAACTTCGGCGAGGGTGGGGAGGGGGGAGTTGTTGAAACATACCACTTCTGTGCAAAAAACATGATAACTCAAACATTGCGGACCCGATAACTTATGTACCCCCGCTCCTGATGACTTGGTCGGCGAGGGTGGGGGTGGGGCAAGTCGCTGAAACATGCCACGGTAACTTATGTGCAAATAACATGATAACTCATACATGGTACACCTGATAACTTATGTACCCGATCCTGGTAAATGTGGCGACTGTGGCGAGGGGGGACCCGGTAATTTCTATGTAAATAGCACGGTAATAGAGACATACAAAGTTTATAACTCCCATAGAAACACCACTGTAATTTTTGACCAGATTTTTTTTGTTGAAAACATACACCCGGTAATTTCTGTGTAAAAAACATGATAATGTATACATCACACACATGATAACTAATATCTTACGTTTTAAACACCATGGTATCTTTCATCCAAGGAGGGAAGTTTTTGAAACATTTTCACCAGTAATTTCTGTGTTAAATTACCATACTTCCCCATGCATTAACCTTCTCGTACTGTAGTTACCAGCCTTATCATGGTATAGTTATCATGTTGCTCATACCATAGTTATCACGCTGGTCATGCCAAAGTTACCAAGTCAAACTTTTTTTTCTTCTGATATGACAGAAATAAGAAAGGTTTAAATAACGTTGTTTATCTACAATAGACAATAACAACAGGTGGCTTAGTTGGTTATTAGGCTCATCAGTTATTGCATAGACCTGGGTTCAAATCCTCTTTCAAGCACCTTTATTTTCTTTTCATATTATGCAGCGAAAAACCAGAAAAAAACAGTAGCGATTTACTACGGTTTTTGAGAGAAGGAAAAAAATCAGTGGAAAGCGAGCGTGAGAAGATAGCGCATCGATCGCTAACTATCGGGAGAAGTGGATCGGACTCGTGCGGATCTGTTGCTAACCACCAGTCGGCTGGTGGTTAGCACAGTCCTTTTCTTTATGGGTTTCTGTGGATGGTGTGAATGCGAAGCGGACCTATCACATGTGAGGATTCCGGTGTGCGAGATATCTTGCTCTGTATTTGATCTTTTTCTCTCCATTTCATTGGCTTGCTTGTCTATTCCTCCACTAGACTACAAAGCGTACTGGACCACCATCGTATTTGTATTTCTCTGAGGGTATAGAATTTGTGCTGCATTCTTCACACAGTTGATTTTCTAGCAGTTCGCCTCATACATATAAAACCGATTTTTTTTTCTCAAAGGATAGAGGAGCACCACATGCCTAAATTCAAATAACCATCCTAGTACAGAAAATTTCCATAAATTCAAAATGAGAAATAGTACTAGGGTATAGAATTTGTGCTGCATTCTTCACACAGTTGATTTTCTAGCAGTTCGCCTCATACATATAAAACCGATTTTTTTTTCTCAAAGGATAGAGGAGCACCACATGCCTAAATTCAAATAACCATCCTAGTACAGAAAATTTCCATAAATTCAAAATGAGAAATAGTACTAGGGCTGCCTGAGGACCATATGTTATTTTATTTTTGGATTAGAGGTACGACGTATGCATAGGAGGGGGAGGGGGAGGGGGGGGGGATAAAACGAGGCAACTCAACGTATGCATATTCTCCTCGCGACACTTGTCGAGCTGTGTGATATCACTATCTTTTTGGATGAAGTTGTATATCATCTGGGTTAAAATATCTCATCTCATCTTGCTGCATGTATCGTCAATGGATATCGCCACATGTCGTCACACAAATCCGTGGCACGCAAGAACCGTGTAGGAGAACGAACCCGACTTGCCCATCGATGATGTTCATGGCTAGCAGTAGAGAAGAGAGCAGAGAGGTGTAAGCCAAAGCAATGCACAGGTCACAGACCAAGCTCGAGAGCACATCAACGTGTCCTGGATACGTGGCCCTGTTTCACCAAGTGAAGTATAGTGAAGAATCAGGAATGATTTTGCAATTCGTCCGCACAAAGAGGTATTTCTGATTTTGCAATTCGGCAATACAAGGAGGCATGAAACAGCCTCTGCAAATTACTACTCCCTCCGTCCGGAAATACTTGTCATCAAAATGGATAAAAGAGGATGCATCTAGACGTATTTTAGTTCTAGATATGTCTCCTTTTATCCATTTTGATGACAAGTATTTTCGGACGGAGGGAGTACTCAACAGCACACAGCTCAGCAACTTGTCAATATAAAGAGGCATCTGTGATCTGTCAGTTAACAGCTCAGCACCTCGGCAGACGTATGCTGCACATACAGAGAAAGAAATTTTCCTGAGAATATTGAGGCAAAGAATGTAGGTCTGTTTCTAACTTGAACAAAGGGGTACATGACCAGTGACTATATGCAGAAGAGAAGAGAAAAAACAAATAGTAACAAGAATAACCCCTTGTCACCAAAAAAAGAAAAAGAAAAAACAGACAAAATAATGAGGAGAGCCAACTGGAAGTGTCACCTCAACTATACACAAGCATCTACCTTAAAATCCTCACCGAGGTGAATTCTGAAGGCTTGATGCTACTCAGTTTCGACGCATCATATCATATTAGCCTTTGAAAGATTGCTCACAGTCAGACCATAGGAGCAATGTGAACGTCAGAGATCTTTCCAGACCTTGTAGTCAGTATTTGAACTGTTGGGGTTTATTGGTGTATCTTGACATCCCAAGAAGAAGGTCGGTCGCACATCCATATTGATCAATGCGTGTGCAGTTGATCTTGCACTTGCGACGATGGCAACCTCGTCGGCAGCAATTATGGCTTCTCCGTATCCTTTATCTTTTACATCAGGATTTTCTAACTGTTGATCATGAAACAACAACCAATCAACAGTTCAACACTAGAATCATGTGATTATCAGGGACTGAATGAATGAATGAAGAAGAAAATATCATTACCCTGAATTTTGTTTTTGCGCCCCAGATGACAAATGTTTCATTGCATGTATGGTGACGATGGTTGCCACGCAAACCACCTGGCTGGATCAGTCCTACGTGTAGCGAAAGACAGACCAACGCCCCATCTGCCACAAATTGAACATTATATAATTAATCTCTAGTCGAGATACCTGAAAAAACAGCCTATGCTCTATTCACATCAGTCCTCCCTAAGCTGTAGAACAAAATTCAAGGCAATCACATCCAGGCAAATATACCATTCCACAAAAAAAAGGGTGGATTGATGTTTCTGTATTTACAACTTCTCATGTACATATTGTTCCAGAATAACCCCAAGAAAAAAAATGCTTGGAGTTCTGCAGCTACGAAGTGAAAGGTGATTGAAATTTCATTTGGGTGAAGAGAACTGGACGTGCTTCATACAATGACAAGGTCCCATATGTTGTAGACTAGTAATCCGTGCTTAATTTTCACCTCAAATGTAGAAGACCTGTAGAGATTTTCAACGTCTACACAAATCTGTAGAACATCATCAATAGAGAGTAGAGACACTCATGGACTACAACATCTGAATAATACTATATTTTGAGCATGTCGACACGAATTTAGAGTCAAGTTGAACAAAACGAAGTTGCAACAAAACACTGCGATGAACAGCCTCAAGTTCAACATGGTAGCAACTGGACCATAGAGCAAATTTCTTCTGGCTACCAACCATACACTCAACAGAAGTCTCAAGTTCAACACAGTAGCAACCGGACCATAGAGCAAATTCCTTCTGGTTAGCAACCATACACTCAACAGAAGTCTCAAGTTCAACACAGTAGTAACTACTAAGTTTGAGACACTTATTTTGGGATGGAGGGAGTAGTAAGTAGTGGGAAAACAGTAGTGATGCATGTAAAGTCCTCTTGTTTCCTAGTAAGATGGGCATCTATTGATAGAACCAACAAAGGTAAATAAAGTACAAAAGAAGGGAAATATTTGTGTAGCAGAATATTCTCCAACTTGGTTAGCTAAAAATCAACGTTGCTACCCCTATGTTGCAAATGTTCTCTTTTGCTACCTTTTTCTCCTTTCGGCCGTAAGGATACATATCAGTATGATAAATAGGGACGAAAACAAATAAATAGATAGATGGAACTGACAATTCTGAATACAAGTCTTGTTCATTGGTTGCTTGTCAAAGAAAGCCACCCATCTATCTGTCTAATATGTGTAGATGGAAAGCAAGTGGAACGACCCAACCACCCAAACATCTCAGTGGTCACAGTTTGCTATTTGGGCCATATGTTAAGGGACGAACACAGAGGTACCTTGTATTGGACTCAAACAAACAAGGCTGTCAACGGAAGTGGTACATGCCCAGCTCAATACAGGTGCCTATACTGGTTCATATAGCACACCCAGCTTAACAATCTCCAACAAAGACTGCAACTGAGGCAACAAGATTATTTTGTAAGGTGCAAGCCAAGTGCCGCTCCGGAAGGTGTTACAACAACGTGTTCATGCCGCACTTCCACCAGTGACTTGTTCAGAACATCACTTTGTTCTTCTTCTCACTATAAACTTTAGATTGAGCAAGAGTTGGAGTATCTACTACAAATATGAACTAGGCAGGCCTCACTTCTGCAATTGATGACACAGTCTAATCTACCATATCATCCCTGCCACATTCCAACTCTTTTATTAAAACAACTTATTGCAGCGAGCTAACAATAGAGAACACAACTGAAAACGTAGAATTCGCGAGGCAAAGGGGGAGCTCACCAGGGAGGCCGGCCTCGCGGGCTGCGGCGACAGGGTCGAGTAGCCATCCGCGTTCGTCGGCGGCGATGGGGGTGGGATGGAGGGCGGCGGGGTAGCGGACGAGGTTGGCCTGAGGGTCGTGGACGACGGTGGGACGCTGAAGGGAGGCGGAGGGGGTGGGTTGGTGGAAGTGGAGGGAGATCCAGGTGAGGAGGACGAAGAGGGAGAGCAGGAAGGGGAAGGACGCCGGGCGCTTCAGGAAGTGGAGGAGCGACGAGGGCAGCGAGGAGGACGAGGGCGCGGCGGCGGCGGCGGGGAATGGCGGGGTCTGGGTGTTGATTTGCAGCGCGATGGCCCTCCTCGGGTTCGCCATGGGCGGGCGGCGCGCAGGCCCGTGGTGAGCTGGTGGCGCCCCGACTGCCGGACTGCCGGCGAGGGATCGGCGGCGGAGACTTCACCTTTTCTCTCGAGACGGAGCCGGCGAACTGTCACTGCCTCACGTGGGTTGCCATGTCATTTCGAAGGCGGATAGAAGATATCCGAAGATATTTCCTCACATTCGGTCCGGATCCGGCAGATCTGAGCCATCCAACGCGAAACGGACGGCTCAAGATGGGTCATCTTCCTATCGTTCCACGCTTATCCTCTTCTTCCTTTCCTCCCCCTTCCTCCAGACCCCGACCCAAGCCCGCAAAACCCAGCGGCCACCACCATGGCACCGCCCGCCATGGCGTTCCAGGCGCTCACCTTCTCGCCCCTCCCCCTCCACCTCCACGCCACGCGGCGCCGGGTCCGCGTGCTCTCCGTGGCGGCCGACCAGACCCCTCCGCCCCCGCAGGCCTCCCCCTCCGAGCCGGCGAACAGCCCGAGCCGGCTCCTCCGGGAGCTCGCGCAGCGGAAGAAGGCCGTCTCGCCCAAGAAGAAGCACCCGCCGCGGCGGTTCATCCTCAAGCCGCCGCTCGACGACGAGCGCCTCACCCAGCGGTTCCTCAACAGCCCGCAGCTGTCGCTCAAGTCGCTCCCGCTGCTCTCCTCCTGCCTCCCCTCGTCGCCGCTCTCCGCCGCCGACCGCACCTGGATGGACGAGTACCTCCTCGAGGCCAAGCAGGCGCTCGGCTATCCGCTCGCCCCCTCAGAGACGCTCGGCGAGGGCGACGACTGCCCCGCGGTCCACTTCGACGTCCTCCTCTACCTCGCCTTCCAGCACCTGGACCCCTCCTCCGAGCGCACGCGGACGCGCCACGTGCGGAACGGCCACTCCAGGCTGTGGTTCCTGGGCCAGTTCGTGCTGGAGCTCGCCTTCTGCGAGTTCTTCCTGCAGAGGTACCCCAGGGAGTCCCCTGGCCCAATGCGGGAGCGGGTGTTCGCGCTCATCGGGAAGAAGATGCTGCCCAAATGGATCAAGGCGGCGAGCCTGCATAATTTGGTGTTTCCTTACGACGATTTGGATAAGATGATACGCAAGGACAGGGAACCGCCCACGAAGTAAGTCTTTGGTTACTGACTGGAAATGTGCCATTTGAATTGTAGTAGAGGTATAATTCTGGCCTGGGATCATGCATTAGGACAATGCGAGCAATCAGTCACCATTCTGTTCAGAGTGTAAGAGTGAAATCATCCATGGCACATTTGCAATTAGCATAGTATACATCTAGTTAGCACCTTATAAATTCAGTAACGAAGATAGCTGCCTACGAATTTAACACCTAAATGTGCCCACTAAGTAAGTCTTTGATTATTAACTGAAAATGTGCGACTTTGAATTGTAGAGATTAAATTCCAGTCTGGGTCATGCATTAGGATAATACAACCAATCAGTCACCAGTGTGTTCCGAGTGAAAAAATGGAATCGTCCATGGCACATTTGCAATTAACATGGTACATCTAGTTAGCATCAGTAATTACGATAGCTGGATACCTGTTTAATACCTAAACGTCAGCCTGTTGGTTAGATATCAATCAATGTTTTTTTGCATGAGCTTGATCTGCATTATGTACTTACTCTTCTGTGGTAGTTCCATTTTATGGAAATGTATGGGTGATTTGGTGCTAGGAGTAGTTTGGTAGGGTTCCATTTAACTATTCGTTATCTTCTTGACACATTCAACATATTTGGTAAACTTGCATGTGCTGGCATAACATCAATGGTAAAAGTAAATATTGTTAGCCTATTTGTGGCCACTCTTTAGTCCAATGTTATATGTATCAATGCATGTTTTGTGGCTTTCTCAGTGAAGTTGTATCCGTTGTTAGATGTTCTACAGCCTTGTTAATAGTCAAGTTGCCCCTACATAATCCTGTTAGATTTTGTACACTTGTACTGAATTGCATTCTTCAATCTCCTTTATTGTGTACTGCTGTGTGTCCCTTTTATGTGCTAGCTAACCTGCCGTGGAAATTTTCTTTGCATAAGAATATGGAGCACATAACCTAACTTCATAAATTCATGATAATACTAACTCATTTGGAGAGTTTTCTCTTGATTATTTGATTTTTTAGAGCTATTTGTACTGTTAACTGGCAATTTGGAATACATATATGAGATAGTCTTCATTAAACTTTATGTTTGTGCTTCAGGGCTGTGTTCTGGGCATTATTTGGAGCTATATATCTGTGCTTTGGAATGCCTGAAGTCTATCGTGTTCTCTTTGAGGCGTTCGGGATGGACCCTGAAGAAGAGAGCTGTCAGCCAAAACTGCGGCGTCAACTAGAAGACGTTGATTATGTTTCAGTGGAGTTTGAAAAGAGACAACTCGCATGGCAAGATGTTGCTGCCTACCGGGTATTGACCCTTCCTACCGTTTGTCCCAAATCTTCACTGTCGCTTCTTCTTACCTAGTTAACTGTTGCGTGCACTGCAGCCACCAGCGGATGCTCTTTTTGCTCATCCTAGGCTTTTCCGGGCATGTGTGCCACCAGGCATGCATCGTTTCAGAGGGAACATTTGGGATTTTGATAATAGACCCAAAGTCATGAACATCCTAGGATATCCCTTGCCGGCGAATGATAAAATTCCAGAAATTACAGAAGCAAGGAATATAGAACTTGGACTTGGCCTCCAGGTATTTTGACACCACTAGTCTTTTCTCATTACGGTCTTCCTTACTAATGTTTACTTGTTTCTCTGCATGCAAAACATGTTTTGTGGTGCATTATTTGCTTGTCTTTTCATATCTGCCTCCTAGTTGTCCAGCAACTCAAACTGTTGATATATTTCATTATTGTCTGCACATAAATCAACATTATCTGTATTGGTTTTTTACTGCAGCTGTGCTTCATGCATCCCTCAAAGTACAAGTTTGAGCATCCAAGATTTTGTTTTGAGCGTCTGGAATATGTTGGCCAGAAGATTCAGGTTTGTTGCCTATCTTGTGACCTTTTTCAGCATCTGACCACTCTCCATTTGATCAATAGTCATACTCAAGGTCTGAACTTCCTTATGATCAGGATCTAGTATTGGCAGAAAGGCTGCTCATGAAGCATCTCGACGCGCCTGGCAGGTGGCTGTCAGAGAAGCATAGGAGGTTGCTGATGAACAAGTATTGCGGGCGGTACCTGCGGGACAAGCACCTTCACCACTACATTATATACGGGGAGACTGTACAGGACAGATTCGAACACAACCGCCGGCTGAGAAATCCTTCCACGACTGCCGTCCAGCAAGCGATACATGGGCTCTCGTACTGCGTCTACGGCAAACCTGATGTGCGGCGCTTGATGTTCGAGGTGTTTGACTTTGAGCAGGTCCAGCCGAAAGCTGTATGAGGAGGATATGCTCTGTGTCGGTTTGTGCTGAACTGATGACCGGCGAGATTGCCAGCGCTTGAAGGAAAAATGCAGCATCATCAAAATCCTAGCGCGGATCAGATCGCGCTGTTTCGAAGCCTGAGCCCAAAGCCGGACGGTGGATTAAAGCAAGCACTGCCCGTCCAGCCTCTTCTGGACCCCCACAGCTCTTGTAACCTCTTGTCTTGCGTACTAGAGATAGGCAGCTGTATTAGAGATGATTAAAATTGAACGCCGTAGTTTTACAGTTTTGAGAGTTGACTGTAAATTCCAATTTGAGCAGAAACAAAAACAGCTGCTGCTGCAGCAGCAGGAAGATATAGAGTTATCCGTGAGAAACATGCTTTGTAATGTTGTAGCCGAAAATGTGAATGCAATGTCATTTGTCATATGGGTGCATAAGTTTATTTATTTTTTTAACACAGTACAATCGAAGTCGCTCACTGGGTGCATAAGTTTATCTTGTGGAACTTGTTTGCTGCTAGCTATCCTTATTCAAGCTCTGATTTTATTCGTGTCCACTCACCCATGGACATCATATAAGAGGCAATGTGGCGGGAGGGCAGTTTTGGCTCTGGGGTGCATATGCTCCCTAATGAACAGTAAATTCAAAATAAATAGTAAATGAAAATTAAAATTTCTATTTTTTTTGTAGATGCTTTTGTTAGTGTAACAAGCATGCTTAACATTTTTCAGGCGAAACTTCATTGTTGAAAAAAATAAAAATAAGTATAACATTTGTCGTTTGACTTGGTTTTTTTTTGTGCAGATCAAAATACTTAACCTTTCCTCCCAAAAAATTGTAGGTAGCATTTTGGTGTGACAAAGAACACATCTATTTTTTTTACTATTTCTTTGACATTTGCAAAAAAAAAAAATGGTGGGCAGGACCATATGCTCCGAAGAGCCGAATTGGATTTCCACAATGTGGCGTCTCTACAGTTTGATACTGGACCACAACTCAGCTTTATTTTATCTCGTTCACAGAAACGCTAATTCTTCTGGGCGAGATGAAAAATTGCTTCTTCTTTTTTTTAGAAAAAGATGAAAATTTTCTTTTTTTCTTAGTCTAAACACACTTCTAAAAAAAATGCTGATGCCATGCTCCGCAAATGGGATTGTTCACACCAGCAAATGTTCAGCCAGTTTTGAAAAAAGAATATTTAGTATCCTTTTATTTCAAGAATATTTTTGCTGTCGATCCTAGCCTTGACCCTAATCCTGTTCTGGACTTGGTTCATTCAGTTATATCAAGTGATGACAATGCAAAAACTTTGTATAGATTTCTCTGACCAGGAAATTTCAGATGCTCTATTCCAAATTAGCCCTTTAAAGGCTCTTGGGCCTGATGGTTTTCCTGCAAGATTTTTTCAACGAAATTGGGACACTCTGAAAGATGGAATTATCAGGGCAGTAAAAGAATTTTTCAGTGTAGATGAGATGCTTGATGGAGTTAATGAGACCTCTATTGTGCTTATCCCCAAAATCACGAATCCAAAAAAGGTCTTTGATTTCCGTCCTATTAGTCTCTGCAATGTTATTTACAAGGTGGTCTCTAAGTGCCATGTGAATAGATTACATCCTCTA